GTTTTGAGGGGGAGGGGAGGTTAACGTTTTTGATTAATGATTACAAGGGCACATGAATTTAAAAAAAATAATGAAGTGCACGGATAAATTATTTATAATAAACACTACAGTATTCCATCAAAAAATAAGAATTGTCAATTTTGATTTAATGCCGACTTTAAGAATCAATATTGTTCCGTAAAAATGAGAATCGATTAAAATCAAGATATCGATATTTTTTACCCAGCCCTAGTAGATTCAAGTAATGCATGATGATGATGTGCTGTATAATATTCATAATGATGAACTAATTATAAATTGTCTTATTGGAGTCAGTCAGAGTTTTAAGAATGAACGCCATGGACGTACAGTGGGAAAAATGATCCCTCCTAAGTAGGGTGGTCCGATCAGGGTTTTTGAGGCCGATCGCCGATCACAGAAAAAAGTATCTGCCGATACCGATCACTGATACCGATCTTTTTAAAGCCTTCTTTTTATCATTTATAACTATTTATAGTGATACTCCAATCAGGATTTTTAGACATTTATTCAGGGCCTGAATTTCATTTTTGAAAATGGGGGGAATTTGCATTTATGGTGTAATTACTACATTTTCGTGTCAATCCATGTTCATATTTACTGCAAAAAATGAGCTGTTACTTTAATTCAGCCCTTGCAGCGCAGCAAAAATAGACTCGGTGCGGAAACGATCTCTGCACTGCTGCAGATGCACCACTACTGGAACGCACTGCCGGACAGCAACCATTAATCTTTATTAATCTGTTAACATGAGCGCAGAAAAAATACGCACCACATACGCACTGCAAACGGAGTAATGTGAACCTGACATTATGTGTGTGCGCTGCGAGTGGGCATGAGCACATGGTCTCCAGGAGAGCCCGCGAGCGCTGAATGGTTAAACACTGGCAAGAATGGAATTTCATTTTTGAAAATGGGGGGAATTCTCCTCTTATGTGACTCTTGTGAGAGGGGAAGCAGCTTTCACAAAGGAGTCCGCTACTGAACCGTGGCTGTTTACCACAAACACAACATTTAACCATTATTTTGATTTAAAATCCAAACAGTCACTGAAAATGCTTTTTCAGCATTGTAATTCTTTTTTTACAAAGTACAGTAATACAATCTTTCACAGACATGTTTAAACACAATAAATAAGCACAACACATCATTCAATGCTTTTTACTTTTGCATTTACTTCTAGATTTATATATTATTGCTCACAAACAAGGCAAAACAGCAAGTGGCAAAACATTTAAACTACTTTTCTTACGTTATCACAAACTTACCATTGACAGAAATAGTCAGCTCTACTGCCTTTCCTTTTGCATT